CATTACGCACCCGTCGGCCTACTGCCTCTCCATTGACACCGCCGGCCCCTTCAGGAATACCGGTGCGGGCGGCTACAAGTACCTTCTTGTCGGATGTTACCGACACCCGAAACTACCTGGGACAAAGCCAGAGGAGGAGCCTGTTGAGTTTCCTAAGCCCGAAGAGGTAGAACCTCGCCCTGATGATGGTGAAGATTGGCTAGGTGATGCTGGCCCAGATCCTGTTGAAGAGCCTCTTGGGGAAGAACCAGAAGGGGGAGTTGGTTTCATTGATCCGGGTGATCAAGATGATCAAGAAGTGGAAGCGTTGAAGGAGCTGGCGGAGCCCCTGGAGTTCGTCTCGGTCTATGTGGCGAGGCCAATGCGATCCCGGAAGAAGGCGGAGACGTTAAGGGCCATACAAGAGCTCTACATCCAGCTCCGCAGTGCAGGCTTCCCAATAGCTCGGTTGCACATGGACCGTGCTCGAGAATATCAATCGAGCGCACTTGAACACTGGGCGGCGGCAAGGGACATTGAGCTATCCCGGACCCAGGGCGACGATCCGTCGCAGAACGGGACAGCCGAAAGAGCGGTTGGCTATGTCAAGATGAGGGTCAGAGTGCTTTTGTCTCAGGCAAAGGAGTTGAGTGGCGTGGATGATGACACCATAAGGACTTGGTGGCCCCTGGCAGCTGAAACCGCGGTCTCTCAGCACCAGGCAATGGCTATGGGTCGGAAGTTTCCTTCGGCAGCTCGTTTTGGTTCCCGAGTGTTTACGCGCAGGAAGGGATATGGTGCTGGACGTCCTGATCTCAAGCCAAAGTGGATTGGGGGAGTTTACTTGGGGCCCGCTCGCTCCGTTCCTGGAGGCCACATGGTGTATACTGATGAAGGAAATCTGTGGTTCTCTACGAACATTCGGCAATTTGAGGACCGAGCTGTTGATGGCGAAGAAGAGCGAAGAGGCGGTCCTTTAGTACCTGATTTACTACCAGCACGGCGAGTGACAGGAAAAACGTCCGCAGTTGAGCTGGCCAGCGGTGCTAGCCTACTCCCGGGTGCTTCTGACGGCCCTAGTGGTGGACGACCCGAAGGTGCGCTGAAGTCGGTTGCGGCGTTGTCGCCAGGTTCTGATTCCGATGCTGATGATGAGTCGTGGACGGTGGTTTCCGATGGTGCTCAGCTGTGTGACCTTGAGGTGCCCGAGTCGTCTTCTCCATCTACTACAACCTCGCACCGTGGTCGGGGCAGCTTGGCGGCTGAGTATGTGGAGGCGGGATGTTACTCTATGGATGAGTGTCTCCGAGTGCTGGAGTCAGAGCCCTTTGTGAAGACTAGAAAGCAGAGAACCTCAGCCTGGAAGGAGAATGGTCCCCCTCCAGTTCACACTACTCTCGGCGCATATCAGCGAGGACCCTTTGTGGGAACTACGAGTGCGACGAAACGACATCACTCGTTGGCGCTCTACTTGACGGAGTTTTTGAAGAGGCACTGTGGCGGCCAATGCGAGTTCACATCCCTTACTGTTGCCCGTGACCTTAATACTGAAGTACATAGTGATCGGTTCAACCTACGCAACTCCACCAACTATGTCCTGACGCTGGGCGACTTCCAAGGAGGAGGAGTTTGGGTTGAAGGTGAGGCTGGGAATTATGCGAAAGTTTCTGTTGAGAGCACCCCGGGCGAGATCCTGCAAGGCCATGTCCTTCCGGCCAAGAACCACATTGTGCAGATTGATCCCAAGAAACTGCATAGGACTATGCCATGGTCGGGGGGGCCTAAGTGGACGGTGATTGCACACACCATCGGAGCCAGGAAGAAGTTGTCTGAAGGAGATGAAGAGGGACTCAAGGTGCTGGGTTTCCCGTTGCCTGGTGCTTCTTTGTGTGCAATATCCCCAGGTGAGTTGGCTTCTGGAAGTGAGGTCCCCTGTGGAAGGCAGTGGCGCTTTATGCTTTCTCAGCAGGAGGTTGAGGAGGAGATGATGAATCGCTTGTGGACCAGACGGGTCTTAGATGAGGAGGAGCAGCTTGCAAGTGTTGTTCCCAGTGACCTTGTGACTGAGTACGCAGGGGTGAGCCAGGCAAACGCCGAAGCAGCCACGAACCTTCATTTTCGAGAGACTCGATGCGTGCATGAACTGTGGAATGAAGAACAGTGGTTGGGTTTGTGCCGTATGACTGAGTCTGAAGAGGAGACCTTTGGTGTTGAAACTATGCTTGAAGAGTTGAAGGAACCCCTCAAGGTTGTCTTCACGGTTGCCTTGGATGAGGTAAAGAACTATGCTTCTAGGTGGTCGGAGGCCATGCACAAGGAAGTGAAAGCGCTCCTGGATGCGGGAGCATTGGTTCCTTTGACTGCAGAGGAGCAGGCCCGTTTGGAGGCCTCCGGGAAATTGGTGGTGCTACCTGCCAAGGGCGTCTTCACTGCAAAACCGCCGGATGTTGAGCGGCTAGCTGACGATGATGGCCATCCTCTTCCACAAGGGTCGGTTCACTTTGTCAAGCGTAAAGCGCGCTTAGTCATATGCGGCAATTTCCAAGGGCGGCAAGCTCGAGAGGATTCCTATGCGGGAGGTTGCCAGATTGATTCCCTACGAGCAATGTTGGTTTTTGCGGCCTTCAAGGGGTGGCGCCTTGCTTCGACTGATATTCGCAATGCCTTCATCCTCGCCCCGATCAATGAGGAAGAAGAAGAGGATGACGGAACTGTGTATGGACTGTTCCCTCCCCGTGTTTTCCAGTTGGTTGCTGTGCCCTACTGCTATCAGCTGTGGCGAGTGGATCGGGCCCTGTATGGTTTCAGGCGCAGCCCTCGGCTATGGAGCAAGTTTCGGGATCGACGCCTACGCGGTGCCCGGATACCCTATGATCAAGGCCACCTTGTTTTGAGACAGAGCCGAGCTGATACCAACGTGTGGGCCATTGTCTATGAAGTGGATGGAGCCGAGCCTGAGATAAAGGGCTACCTCAACATCTATGTAGATGATGTTCTTTATGTGGGAATCGCCGATGTGATTGAGACAGTTCAGTCATGGCTTACTTCCGAGTGGAAGGCTTCCGAGTTGACGTGGGCTTGTGAAACTTCGGTGCTACGGTTTCTGGGTTTGGAGATTCAGCTTTGTGATGGTGGTGTGAGGATTGGTCAAAGAGCTTATGTTGATGAGTTGATCCGCCACCACAAGCTGACTGAGAGCAGGGGGTATGGAACTCCTTGTCCCCAAGAATGGCTCTTGGGAGAGTGCGATGAATCCTCAGTTGACTACTCGACGGAGCAGTTGAGGAGGGCGCAAACCCTTACCGGAGAGCTCCCATGGCTAAGTGGAAGAAGCCGACCAGACATCATGCATAGCGTGTGCACTATGTCCTCTCTGTGCGTCAAGAACCCGGAGCTCGTTGAGCGCATCGGTTACAGGGTTCTTGGCTACCTGAAGGCGACTGCTGGGGTTTGTCTGTGGTATAAGCCCTGTGATGCGGCCTACGATGTCGTTGGATACTCGGACGCTTCGTTTGCACCTTCCGGTTCGAGGAGTGTGGGATGTTCGGTCGCTTGCTACTACGGTTGCCCGGTGAGCTGGCGCTGTGGTCGTCAAAGCTTAGTAGCTCTTTCCGTTGCAGAAGCAGAACTTCTTGAGGCTGTGAACTGCGTACAGCTTATGAGTGGGCTTGAGAGTTTTGTGGAGGAGCTCCAAGCTACATCTCCCCGACTATGTCTTCGGGTTGATAATCAAGCTGCGGTTGGCCTTACTACTGAGGCTGCTGGCACGTGGAAAACGCGCCATTTGCGTGTGAGAGCCTTTGCCTTGCGAGAAGCGGTGCGTGTTGAGGCTTTGAAAATCCATCATGTTGAGGGTCTTCGGCAACTTGGGGATTTGGGGACGAAATGTTTCCACAAGCCGCGGCTGGAACAACTACGAGAGCTTTGGGGGCTGAGGGCCATCGAGGTCGGGGTCGATCAGGAGAGCTCCGATAAGCTTAGCCGGAAGGCTTCTGTTGCGACCTTGGCTATGAATGGAGTAGCGAGTGTTTTGGCACGCCTTACGTTGATCCTTGGTTGGCTGGTCAGGGGTTCTACAGCTGCAGACGACGAGTCCAGTGCGGGCTTGGAGTTAAGTTTTGCTTGGGAACTCTATGGCTTAGCGATCTTGGCTGTGATCTCCGCCATTGCGCTTTGGGAGCTAGTGAAGTGGCTTTTGTCGAGGTGTTGTGGTGCCGGAAGTGAACTACCAGAGTCGCGTGAGGCCCGAAGGCTTCGGAAGCTTCAACAAGTTGTTCATGAAGAAGTTGGACGCTATGGCTTGGAGGTTGGAGTGAAGGTTTCTTCGGCCTCTTCACCTGCCGCTGCGCCTGCGACTACCGCTCCTAGCTTTGAGGAACGAGCAACTACTTCGAGGCCCCGACAGGTCACCCGTGGATGCCAAACTGAGCCCTACGACGCAGGTATGAGACAGCACGCAGGTCCCTTCTTCGCGAGTGTGAGCATGGTGATCGCATTCATCATGATCCGAACTGTCGTGGTTTGCGGAATGCAACCCATAGGACAAGACGTTTGAGTTTGTGCGCCTATTGCTATCAGCGCTGTCCGCTGTACATCCCTGATGATCTGTAAAGGGGTGGACTGATGGCAAGCACTCCCATAGTCCAAGGAGGAGTGTTAGAGGTGCGAACTTGCTTTCAGGCTTCACAACTTGGGTATGTGCACAGATGCTACCCTAGCGAAGTCGTTTGCCATGATCGGCAGAAGCTACCTTGCGTGAACGTTGGCTCAAGATGACGCTAAAAGGCCCCGCTGAAGCGAGGACTCTGAGTCCGTTGGTAGGCGGTGGTTTGATCTTGGGTTTGGGGATGGAGGGTAGTCTTCTCGGAAGGTTGCTCCCCCTCGAACCCAGTGATTCGAAGTCTTTCTTTGAGAGTTTGTGTGATCACGATTTTTAGTCTAAGACGACGTAGATTGCGCAGCATGGACCCGGCAAGTGCAACACCCGTTCATGATGATCAACACCCCTTTAAGGAATGAGCCTGAATCACGAGGAAGCCACTCCGGTCTGAGTCCAGCTGATCAAAAAGCTTCACAATGTCTGGGAGCATGTTCCTGGGCGAGTTCGAAGGGCTTCGGTTTAGGGTTTTTGTTTAAGGGTTTGGGGTTTAGGGTTTCGGGTTCAGGGTTTAGGGTTTGGGGTTTAGGGTTTAAAGTTTAGGGTTTTAGGGTTTAGGGTTTAGGGCTTCGATAATGGTGTTGAGGGTGTAGGTTTTATCCGAGTTCAGGGTTTAGGACTTCGGGTTGAGGTCTGGGGGGGTAGCTAACCCCTAAACCCCTAAACCCTAAACCCTGAACCCTAAAGTTTTGAGGAGAGCACTTCGCAGCCACGCTCGCCAGCTTCTTCTCCTCCTCCTTCTCTTGCCGGGCGTGCTCGAGGGCGGCTTCGACCAAGGAAGCCGTTACCTCATTTGGGGGGTTCCGAAACCTGGGGTACCTTGTTTTGGGGTCCTTATGACAAGGATCCTACTATTTAGGGTACTGTCCCCTATTTTCGGAAACTCCTATTTCACAAGTGCAAGTGGAGATCTGGAAACCCTCTGCAACTCCAAGGCGTTTTGGGCCTGAGCCTCCTTCCCAGTGCAAGCACACGACGAAAACAAGAAGCCGAGCTGATGTACGGATCAGGATGCCAGGTTCATCAGGGAGATCGAAACCACCAAGATGAGTGGGACGAAATAGAATATCAGCCAGGGGTTCTGCCGCATGAGCGGCAAGTAGACGGAGGCGATGGAATCCACCGTCACAAACTGTGTCAGCCTTGCTGCCAGCTAGAACGAGACAAGACCTGCGAAGCCTTCCCTCACGGCATGTCCTTATGCCGCTCGCCACTGGCCTAACTAGCTCTCGAATTCAAGTAGATACTATTTTCGGGGTTTCCCTATTCTAATGTTGGTATCATGGGCCTTTGAGGCCTCTTTATTAGGCAGCCTGCAATCCGAAGACTCTACTATTATTATTATTACTATTATTATTACTATCGTTATTATTACTATTATTATTTATATTATTATTTATATTATTACTATCTATATTATTATTATTATTATTATTATTATTGGGTTCGGGTTTAGGTTTGGGGCTTCACGTCCATGGAGCTGGCTCTCACGACCTTGCACATCCAAGAAGCGTCATCATCGTCATACCCAAGGAGCTGAAACGATCCTCTATGAGGATGTTCGTCTCCTTAGATTTGGGAGTTTCCGAAAATTAGGGGTACCTTATTTGGGGGTCCTTGTAATAGGGATCCTACTATTTAGGGTACTATATTAGGGTCCCCTATTTTCGGAAACCCCCATTTTCATTTCTCAGAGTTACGGGTCGAGGAGTCTAGGGCTCTTGACTTTACCGTCCTCCGCTGCGTTTTGTGTGGAGAGTAGAAAGCAAAAAGCCCCCTTTTTGCCGGGCGGCAGGGTCGCCTAGAAGTGCAGGATCCGAGCTGATGACCTGCAACAGGGTTTAGGGTTTCCACAGAACCCTCTTCTAATCACTAAGGCCCGCACTAAGCCTTTGTAGTAACCTTAACCTTGATAGAACTCAAGCCCCAAACCTGATTCTATTCTTACAGGCCCCGCTGCTGCACCCTTACTGCGCTCCGAGGCGGACCCATTCAACAGTCGCTTTTATGTCGTCGTTTTCGCGTGTGTTAGGGAAGCCGGCATATTCGTGGAAGTAATACGGGAGCCTCAACGATTCGTTAGAATAGGACTTTTGGGTACACTATACTATGATTATAGCCGGAACAACGAGGAATAGTACTGGAAAATGCTCTCCTGGGATCTGTATAATGCTACATACTAATCATTCCGACGCCCCAAGACAAGCTTTTTGAAGCAACACAACCCTATCAAACCCCAGAATGATGTAACTTCCATACAGATTCAGACCCCTCCATTAGCTAAGCATTGGCACTCCTGTTCGGGCTTGCTCCCTTCGGAGGCCCTCGACAGCTGGGATGAAGGTAGGTCGGATGAAGGGTCCCATACAGAAGGACTCTGAATTGGGAATATCCCATCTACCTTCATCCCACCTTTGCAGCTCTTTGATCCCTGCACTCCTTCTTCTTCTTCTACTACTACTAGTACTACTACCACTACCCCTAAAGCCCTACACCCTAAACCCTGGCCTGCAGTGCCAGAACGCCGAAGACGTAGAGCACAAGACCAAGCAGAGCAAAGGCGGCGACCATCGTTTCGCTGGAGTTCATGAGCCCATAAACCTCGAGAGCTCTGAGCTTGGAGAAGCCCTAAACGGTGAAACTGCTCATTTTGTTCTTGTCTTATAATGATTATGAACAGTTGTATTGCTGTTGCTAACATGTTTGGTGCGAAAAATCCCTTAGCACTCGCCTCTCTTTGCCCAATAGGACTATATTCTTGACGCGACAGCTGCCACCCTAGGCTGAAGCCACCGAAAACGCAAGCAGCCCGGGAAGGCCGGTGGAAAAGGGACCAAAGGTTTCTTGCAACTACTATTGATGATGTAAATCCTGCATTACCTTAAGGACCCTAAACTGTGGGAATTATGGTATATTCCTTGCTATGGGTCATGCAGGATTTGTATCATCAACCGTACTAGGGGGCCCTTAGTAATCAGAATAAGGCTTGGGGACCCTTATACTATACTTATAAAAAGGAACCCCCAAAACAGTCTTGGTATTTATTTAAGCCCCTATGTAGAGACGTCGGTATCATGGCTTCGCCGTGAGAGTTTATGGAAGCCGTCCGGGTTTGAAAGGTCCTATTGAAGGTTTAGGTCCGTTCAGGTGCATGTGCTCCACGGCAGCCTGGGGATATTGATTGCGATCGGAGCACACCACCAGAAGAGCCGCTGCGAATTTAGAACTGTAGCAACACCTTGCGCCTGACACCTGACGGCTTCGTGTCATCAGGCAAGGCGCGAGGCGCCAGATGGATCGGATCTGTTTGATCCTTGGCGGCTTGATGCAAATGACGACACGGTTGTTGCCACCCATCCACCCACCACCACCACCACCACCACCACCACCACCACCCACAGCAGCAGCAGCAACAGTGCCGCACACATCAGAAGCGCTATCCTCACCAACAGAATCACCCACCAATCAGTAGCAAGACAGCAGCCACACCACTAACTCGAGCTCTGCGGTCACAGGCGTAATATAGGGGCCTTGACAAGTAGAACAGGGTTTTGAAGTCCATTATACTACACTTATAATAAGGAACCCGCAAAAAAAATAGCCCCCTACAGTATAGTACCCATATAGATCCCTTATAGAAACCCTTATATAGACCCCTTTAAATAAACCCCCCTACCGTACCTATCGGAGACGGAGGAGGCGGCCGAGGATCATCCGAAACGTCCGCACGAGGCGAAAGAGTCGCAGGAGCCGCAGGATCATGATCTGCCTTGGATGTTTGGACTTCGGGGGTTTAGGGTTCAATAAAGGATAATATAGGGGCCTTAAAAATTAGAATAGAGCCTTGGATGTTGGGTACGGCCCCCACTCAGTAATAGTTGAATGATATTCATAATATAAATATATTCGGACCTCAATAGTAGCCCTATTGTAGACTCTTACTCTTACTGTATGGGGGGCAGTATCTAACTTGGATGTTTAGACTCCCGGGGTCTAAGGTTAAATATCGGGGCCTTGACAGTTAAAATAGAGTTTTGGCGCCCAGTATACTCTAAATACAATAAGTAGTATTGGGAATTATTAAGGCCCCTAAAATGGGGTGACATGAAGTCACAGTCGAAAGCTTTCTCTGCGGATCGCAGCGCCCCAAGTCCCCGTGGGCTGCTATTAAAACACAACATGCCCACGGTTGGGTTTAAGGTTTGGGGTCTAAGAAAAAGGAAGGATCTGCGAGCTTACTAACATTCAACACTTGCCGAGATCACCGCGTTGCTGACCGGCTGATCCAGCGACAGCCACCGACAGCACTTGTTCCAGAATTGCGATCATCACCAAACCGAAGTCAAAAAGGAACCAGCCATCGCCTCACGATTGCCCACTCTCCGGAGCAAGCAGGACCAGGACTACTTTCGCCGAAGCGATTCCCCCACCCCCACCAAACTGTACTTGGGCCAATTTTTGCACTCTCTCTCCCCCAATACCGGCACCCCAAAGGCTGAAACCCTAAAGCCCTTCCAGACATGAGAAAAGAAAAGAACCCAAACCTGATGCCAGGCTTATAAAGGGGCTCCTTACTATGGTTTCTATATGGGAGTTTCCGAAAATAGGGGACCCTAATAGAGTACCCTAAATAGGTTGCTTCAATTACATATATCCTACACAATCAAAACCAAAAAGTCGATCTCTCGACTCTGGAAGGCCGTATAAGACATAAAAGCCGATCGGAGGCACGCAAAGCAGACCACCGCAGAGCAATCGCTCGCACGATGAGCTCAAGGATGTAGGTGCCCATGAAGCCTTGGTGCGTCTGGGAAGATACTGGGGACCGAGTGGGCTGCAAAAGCAGTGGGCAGCAAGAGCAAGCAGCATGGAGCAAAATTCGCAAGAATCTGTTGGAATTCGTCAAACGACTGGAGTTCTGAGGACTCGTCATGTCATCAACATGAAGGACAAGAGATTGCAACGACATTGGTCGATAGGTCGGCAATAATGCAAGCGTTGAGTGCTTCCCTGCACCAATGCACCAACCACAGACACTTGCAGCATTGAAAAGGACCATGCCTTCACCCGGCAGCCCCCAACCTCAAACCCCTAAACCTTCACTTACTCTTCTGCTGAGCGACCGATCTCTGCCAAATCCGCCCACTCCACAGTTTCGCCGTGCGTGGCCAGCTGGCTCTCAACTCCAATCCTGCTCTTGGAACAGGCCTTTAGGGTGCAGGGCTTAGGATTTCCGGTGCACATCCCATATCACAACGGAAGCCAAAAAACGCAATATGATATGATGTGATATAACATACCATATCAATATCATATAGCACAGTAGAATATACTACACTATGAGATGAAACACACCTCGAAGGCACAGGGTTCTACTGGACTCTATGAGATGATAAAACATGTTCTAATCTGATATAGCATAGTTCAATATCACAGATCTCAGTGAACTATACTGTAGAATGATCGGATACAAGTGAATATATCACGGTAGAGTATGCTACAATGCTATTTAACATGATATGTAACATGATACAACACCATATGTCACAGTACAATGTCCTTGAACATAAAACAGTACAACATACAAGGTCATGTATCACAATATAGTATACTCTAACATGATGCAATACAACACAGTATAACCTTGGTAAATCAATAGGTTAAGAAAATATAATATCAGAAAATGTCGTATCATATTAAAAACTAAACAAAGTTTACAAATGTCTAGATGTATATACATACATCCATATAAACATACATATATATTTATATATGTATGCATGCATGCATACATACATGCATGCATGCATACATACAATGCAGCAACACAGAGAGTTTTATATGGAGAGCACCGCATACCAGACAATCTCCAGCGTTTAGGATACCTAGTCTACAAGATCGAAACTATCTAATATGTAGTACGTACAACTAGCTTGTACCCTGGATTGCCTAAAAAACGCAACTCCAAAACCCGTAAAGGCCGCCTAGAACCTAGCCCGAAACCTCCATTGGGACCAAGGCAGAAAAGTCTGCTTCAATTTGTCAGGCGAAACTGTCGGCTGGGCTCTGACATGCCTCCGAAAGCATGCTACAGTACAAGGCTTACAACAACTAAGCATCTGATCTTCATCCACGTGGGAGCACCGCGAATTTTTGCCAAGACGCAATGCAGAATTGGCCACAATCACCAAGGAAATGGCACATTCGAAGATGTAGGTGTTGATAAGCTTTTTGCAGGCCAGATGAATAAACATCATAATATCCTGTCACACACAGGGCTCAGAGCCTAAAACCTGAAAACACAGCAAAATTTGGCGACCACTATAAAGCACTAAAACTTACATCGGCGCACCTGTCCTGCTAGTTGCTGCTAAATTTGCTCACCTCTTTGCTCAGCCTATGTACATCCTTGCCCCGTCATGCTCCGAATCCAACAGCCTCCTTGACTCACAACTAACATCTGCGCTCGGAAAAATTCAACTCCACCTGAACCCTAAATCCCACGCTCCCCTAAACCAAACCCCAAAACCCTCAATCCCATAAGGAACCCTTTAAGTAACCCTAAACCCCTTGAGGAATAAACCTACGAAGCTGCCTCGCGCATGGGCGGAAGTGGCTTAATGGATGGCCGACGGTTTTTGCGAATTTTCTCCAGGAGGCCGTGGCTGTTCATTTCGGTCCTGGGCAGTTCAGGACAGCGTATGTAAGCACAAATGTACGTGTATATACGAAAGATGTAAGCATAGACTGTATACAGGTACGTAGTATGAACTTTTATAATCTACATATATATATATACATGTGTGTGTAATATGTGTACACAAACAAGAGACAAAGTGGCAGAGAGAGAGAGAGAGGTACTGTACAGTGCAGTGCGTGTGTGTGTGTGTGTGTGTGAAACATTTTATATATATATACACATAGATGTCTACATGTATATTTGTAAATATGTGTGTATGTATACAAAGTATATACATACCTACCTGCTTACGTACATACATACGTACATATACAAAAACATGCGCATATACAAACACATGAACAAATACATATACATGTAAAACTAAATGTAGGTATACATGTACAGATGCATATGCATATACACAGACATAGACATATACATGCACATATAAACATACATATAAAATACACATATACATATACATATACATATACATATACATATATACATATATATATATATACATATACACATACAGATACATATACATAGACATAGACATAGACATAGACACAGACGTGGACGTGGACGTAGACGTAGACATAGACATAGACATATACATATACCCATACACGTGTGTGTGTGTGTGTGTGTGTGCAAGATTGGTAGTCATATCGGGAAGCTCCAGGAAATAGCCCAACTTGGTTCAGGTTTGCGGTATAGAGTTCAGGATTCAGAGACACGTGAGTTCCCCCGTAATTATTAGACCCCAAACTAAACCAATCTAAACCCAGAGCCCGCAACGGTTGAGTCTTTTGAGGCCCCCGATGCACCCACTGTAACCAAGGAGGCCGCTCGGACTGCATTTCGAAGACTTCCTCCAATGCCTCCTCCCAAGTGACTGGGTTCGTTTGGGGGCTTTAGGCCTGGGGTTTAGGGCTTTTGGGCTTTTGGGCTTTGGGGATTGGGGTCGTAAGTTTTGTGTAGGGCTTGCCTGTGCTTCACTGGGCGCGCTGCTGCTCTCTGCCCGGTCCTGCGTCGTCCGCCGATTCATCAACGACGGAATCCCCTGGCCGGAGCTTAGGTTTGGGGCCTTTTGGGGTGCAAGCGGGGCTAAGGTAACACGCACGTTCACATTGCAAGGGGCCGCCACATGGACCCATTCATACCCTAAAGCCTAAGGCAAGCGTCCACGGCGTCCCCTTCTGAAAGCCTACACCCCAAAGCCCCTAGACCCTAAACCCTGATCCACAAGCCTCGAGTCCATAAGCCTTCTACTGCTGCGCCGCTGCGCGCCTCCGCAGCCCGAAGCAAAACTCAAGAGAAACAGCGAGTCCAAGCCCCTAAGGCGCTTAAGGCGTTTCATGCTTATAAGGGTTATAAGGGTCGGGTCTTTGAAGGGGTCTTTCAACTCAGACTCGGAACTTGCGAGCCTAAACCCTCAAGAGACTCTCTCGGTCCTCCATAGAGCCGCCGCGCGGAACGCTGTCAGAGGCCTGGTGTCAGCGCCCGAGTTGTGGTGATGCATGCATGCATGTATGCATGTGTGCATGCGGGCATGCTTGTGCGTACGTATGTGTATATGTAGATGTAAATGTACATGTAGATGTTTATGTAAGTGTATATGATTGTATATATGCAGGTGGCTTTGAGGAGTTGCGACCACTACAAACATGAGTGCTTGCAACCGATCGGCGAACCCTCCTCCGCTACTCTCTATCCGAAACCTAAACCCCGTTGGCCCATAGACCCTGGAAACCCACTTCTAAACCCAAAACCCTAAACCCTAATAACACCTAAACCCTAAAACCCCAAGCCCTAAACCCTAATAACACCTAAACCCTAAAACCCCAAGCCCTAAACCCTAAAACCCTAAAACCCCAAGCCCTAAACCCTAATAACACCTAAACCCTAAAACCCCAAGCCCTAAACCCTAAAACCCTAAAACCCCAAGCCCTAAACCCTAATAACACCTAAACCCTAAAACCCCAAGCCCTAAACCCTAAAACCCTAAAACCCCAAGCCCTAAACCCTAATAACACCTAAACCCTAAAACCCCAAGCCCTAAACCCTAAACCCTAAAACCCTAAAACCCCAAGCCCTAAACCCCAAAAAACCCTAAACCCTAAACCCCAAGCCCCAAACCCTCCAGGGGCTGACAGAAACCAACCCCGAGAATGGAGCCCTGGCGGCCCGGTCTTCGCGGGAGCCTCGTCCGCGTTGCCGGGATCCTGCTCCGGTGTCCCCTCCTCCTGGCATGCTCTCGGGGCCTGGTAGTGATGTAGTCGCAGTGACAGGAGTAGCAGTAGTAGTAGTAGTAGTAGTAGTAGTAGTAGTAGTAGTAGTGGTAGTGGTAGTAGTAGTAGTAGTAGTAGTAGTAGTAGCAGTAGCAGTAGCAGTAGCAGTAGCAGTAGCAGTAGTAGTAGTAGTAGAAGTAGAAGTAGAAGTAGTAGTAGTAGTAGTAGTAGTAGTAGTAGTAGTAGTCGTCGTAGCAGTTGTTGTTGTTGTTGTCGTCGTAGCCGTAGCAGCTGCAGTAGTCATTTGGACCCATGTTGCCGCGTTCGCTTTCCCGCTCCTGGGTCCGCAGCACCCCGCGGGCCACCGACGTCATCGCTGCGCGGGACCGCGTGAGACTTTGCCTTCACGGCAGGTGCGGTGGAGACTGGGTTCATGATACTGACAATAGTAGAGGTGGTGGGGTTGATGAACGAAGTTGGAATAATCACACTAATGACAATAACACCAACTTACTCAAGTTGCGACTCACTTCATTCTACTGTGAATGACAGTACCAATGATGACAATGAGGCTGAGAATCGACAGGTAACGATATCCTGCACAGTCCCTACTATATACACATAGTACACCATTATAACGTCTTCTGAGACCCTCTGCTGATCAGTAAGATCCACTAAATTGGGGCTGGAGTCTTGGGTTAGGTTGATGACAAACTGTTCTCTCCGTTCACTGTTGCGGAGGTCTTGTGCAGCGAGTAAATTTTGCTCAGGCCTACATCGCTCAGGCCTCAGGAATAAATGTGTCTGATTGCTCATGCCCTGATATTGCGTTTTAGGGTCTGTTGTGTTGCGATTTAGGGCCTGGGCCAGTGAAGAATCGGGACAGGCTTGCCACTCGCGTGATCATTATGTTCACGATATCTTCTGGGGCCTTTGAGTAGTGCAACTACACCGTACATGATCAAAGCCCCTAGTTGCATTCTGAATGAGTAGTATTGAGTTTCACCGGTAGGTCCACGGAGGGAACCAACGCATGCGCCGGTTGCTCAAAAAGGCACGTACCCCTGCCGCAACCCGCAAAGGCAGCAAACGGTTCAAGCGCTGACATGTCCAGATGCCTTGACATGCTGCTTGTCCGAGCATTGTTTCTAAACAGACAAGTCAAGCAGGAGAAAAGCCGAGTTGCTCGAGTTCCCACAGTGCAGCATTGACACCTGCCTGCGTCAGCAACCGACGTCTCGAAATCCAAGCTTCCGCGGAGGATGCAGATGCTTGTGGGGCCATAGAACAGACTAGCGGGAACACAGAGAAAAAGTCGATCTCACGTGTCTCGTTGATGGCCATAGGCCCCACAAAACTGCACAAATCTCCTTCCTGGAGCCGAACTGAAACAAAGGAGCCAAGGTCGAGACATGAACTCTTCCCATGCAAAAGGGCATACCGTCGCGGCCTCTATAGACTAGCTGAGATTGCTGCAGGAAGAAGAGCCCTCCCTCAACGCAGATGGCTCGTGGAATATGCCACGCGAGTCACACCTCGCAATCCCTGCCTGCTGCTGCTTGAGACTTGCCAGCATCAACGAAGGTGCAGTCAGGATTTTGTTCAGCTCCTTGCCGGATGCAGACATTCTACGACATGCCGAAACTGGCCTTCGGCTGTACAGCGGCTACAGCTGCGCGTAACGTCTCACAGGACCCTTGAACATCAAAAAAAATACAAAAAAACCTACAAAAACACACCGAGAAAATCGTTGAACGAATCCTAAACACCCTTGAGAAATCCTAAACACCCTTAAGACATTCGAAACCAACTCCTAAAAATCCCCCTCTTAAACCAACTCGCCGGCTTTGCCTCGAGCGCCTGGAGCGACTCGGGGGGATCGGTGGAACCTCCGGAACTTCTTTGGGGGGGCTTTAGGGCTTTAAGGTAGAAGCCAGAAAGTTGGAATATGATTATCCTAACCCCTTTAAGGTAAACTATAGGGGATCCTACCATTAATCCATATTCCAACTTTCTGGAGTTCCCTTTAGGGTTTAGTGTTTGGGGTTTAACATTTTGGGGTCTAGGGTCCTTAAGGGTTTAGGGTTTAGGGGTTCCTTTCAAATTTTGGGGTTTAGGGTCGTTAAGGGTTTAGGGTTTATGGGTTCCTTTGAAGTTTTGGGGTTTAGGGTTTAAGGTTTATGGGTTCCTTTAACATTTTGGGGTTTAGGGTCCTTAAGGGTTTAGGGTTTAGGGGTTCCTTTCAAGTTTCCGGGTTGAGGGTCCTTGGGGGTTTAGGGTTTATGGCTTCAGGTTTTTTTAAGGATTCCGATCAGGGGTAGGGGTTCCTTGCCAATGTTTGGGGTGTAGGGCTCCCTTGGTTTAGGGGTTCCTTTACGGGTTTAGGGTTTTGCGGTTTAGGGCTTATGGCTTCGGGCTCATAAGGACTACGATCAGGGGTTAAAGCCTAAGATGAAACCTTGACCCGGGTTTTAATTTGGGCTCGGGGTTCGAATTCAAAAATCGACCTTCCTAGGGCCATACATAAAGAAGTCACAAAAGGAACGCTGTGGGTCTGCAAGGGTTTAAGGCTTCAGGTGGCACCCACCTCTTTCGAGTCCACCGGCGGAGATGTCCTGGACGCCATGCGCCAGGCTGCAAGCACTGGTGCATGTGTCCATGGCTTCGAAGCCTATGGATTGGGTCCCTTGAACCCTGTATTTTCAAAAACAAACGTCGGCTTCGAATTCCAGGGAATTGGGTTGGCAGGTGCTGCTTGGAGCTATATAGTCGTAGCATCTTGGGTCGGGGAAGCCAACTTGCAAGTATTCATCGAAGGGTTGCTTATGTTCTACCGCAGTTATGCTCCGTCAGCCCTGAGGCAACATCTCGGTAATCCTCGGGCTTCTATTGTCTCCGGTCTCCGGGGTAACCGTGTGGTTAGCGACCTCCTGGGTTTCTATGAACCTTGCGCTGGAGCCAGCAGGTGCTCGGCGACCGTACCCTTCAGCGAGGGCAGAATAGCTCACAGAGCCAGCTCCTGGGTTAAGGGCTTAGGGTGCAGGGTTTAGGGTTTGGGGGTTTTGGGTTTGGAGGTTTCGGGGTTTGTGCTTCAGGGTGTAGGGCTTTTCGGGTTTAGGGCTCCTTGCCTGCTTCTTGTTCAAGAGCTGCCTCATTCTTTCGCCGTCAACCTCACGGAACCCATCAACCCTAAACCCTATGTAACCCCAAACCTCAAGCCCCTAAACCTTAAGCCCGCAAACCCTGTTCCTCTCGGAACCTTGTATGGAATCCTGAAAGCCCTAAACCCTAAACCCTACTTGGGGGGTCGGGGGACTTAGTAAGTAGTTAGTAAGTAGACTTATAAGTACCCTAAAAGGGACACTAATTGGGGTTATGGTACTTATAAGTCCCTAAAATAACCAGTTACTAAGTCCCCCGACCCTCCAAGTAAGATGCCAACCCCCTCTCGAGCCCCTGGCCCCTTTCATCTGCGGCGCTTCGGAACCTCTCATCGAGGACTCGGAGTTGAGAATGCTGGGTTTAGGGTTTAGGGCTTAGGGCTTAGGGTTTAGGGGATCCCTAACATGATTTTAAGAAATCTTCCTTAATTAAGGGATACAAGAACCCCCTAAAAGGGCTGAGGGGATCCCTAATACGATTCTAAGAAATAGATTCCTCAATTAAGGGATATAAGAATCCCCTAAACCCCTTTTTGGCAAAGGCTCCTTCGAGGATTCGATTTGAAGGTTCCCTTTTTCAAGGAATCCTTCAAAGGATGCCTTCAAGGGGCTCTTCTTCTAAGGTTCCTCTAAGGGTCCCTTAAGGTTCCTTGACAGTGGGGGGGTTCTTTCGAAGAATCGTTTCGAAGATTCCTTTGCTGGGTCATGAACACTCCTGCCGTCGATGGATAGCAAACCCGGCGTAGCCATTTTTAGCGAGCATTTCACGTTTAGTCTTCATCAGAGACGGCAGCTGTGTTTGAGCTGGGGTATGTGCACCTGTCGTACTTGACCGTAGCAACCAACCCGTAAACTCTAAACCCTGAACAGAAACTACACCGCTGTCGCTCTAACACCCAACAAGCCTTAAACCCGCAAGACCTGGAACCATGACGCACCAACCCAAACTCCTTCAAGCTCTAGACTCTAAACCATGTGTCCATCCTACACACAGCCCTTCTGGAGCCCGAAAAAAAAGCCTCATAGCACCCTCCTTGGAACTCCAAGGATCATGTCAAACCTCGCCTGGCAAGCGCTCGAAGACCACGCGCTCCCCGCGCCATGCCTGGCTTCCCGGGTACTTGGAGGGTCGGGGGACTTAGAACTGGTTATTTTAGCGACTTATAAGTACCATAACCCCAATTAGTGTCCCTTTTAGGGTACTTATAAGTCTACTTACTAACTACTTACTAAGTCCCCCGACCCCCCAAGTAGGTTTGGGGCTTCGACGTGGGCTTTTGGGAGGTTAGGAGCCGGAGGTTGAGGGTAATTGTGGGGCTTTGGGGGTTGGGATGTCGGGTTGAGGGATTTAATTCATGGCGTTGCGACAGGGGTTCTGGGGCTTAGGGTTTGGGCCTCAAGGTTGGGGATCCCTGATCAGGCTGTTGCATCGCCGAATGTGGTCCCTGTCTGGATCCAGCCCGAAACATGCAAAGTGCATGGCAATGACATTCATACCAAAAGCAGCAATAACAAAACTGACAACGATCTTTAAAACAGCAAAAGTGCAGGAAAACACAAAGCCTTACACCTCTAGTGGCTCCGCCCAAAGCAACATCGGCCTGCAGAGGGGGGAATCGCACCCGCGTCCTCGGCCAAAGAAAAGAGATGGAAACTGCTCAGAATGCTCATATTGACATATGTGTTTAGGGGCTTAGGGTCACGTTTCGATTCCAAGAAAAGGTTGGTGAAAAAGATAGATGGACAGACAGCTAGCCAAACATGCGCTGACGAAGAGATGCAGTTTGCTGCACAAGCTTTGGGAAGGTGGATGCGATGAAGAAGAAGGGAAGATACAAAACCATTCATCCATTTGAACATATATATGCACACGCACACAGATGTATACCCGCATTCTATGCATACTATACATATACATATGTGTATACATACATATATACACATATAAATACATATATATATATATATATATATACGTACATACGTACATACATACGTACATACATGTATGCATGCACATACATGCATACATATAGACCGACCAACAGACGTACATTCGTAGGTACGTTATGGTTTTGTCTGATACGCACAACGGCGCTTTTCAGAGATGGCACAGACGATGCATCATGTCTTGTTGACTCGTCTTTCTGTCAATCCATCCGTCTGGCTAGTTGCATGCACAAATGTATGCAGTCCGCCGTACTGTCGTACTAGGCTCTAGACTTCTTGACCTGCAATGTACCTTTTACCTGCCACTACAATATGTATACTAGGTTCATCCGAGCCGAGTTCTGGGCGCTCTCTTTGGCGGCGTAGCGAGATCTGCACCTATGACAGGAAGGACATGCTTGCGGAGAAAGGCAACTCCGCGATCAATGGACTATGGGGGTATTTAAGTCTTGAGGCTGTTTTTGACGTTTGATCTCCTTTTGCCAACAGGGGTCTAGAGCCGAATGTGGCTCTCCGGGCCCAAATTCGGGGGTGCGACACGTATGATGCACTGCGCAGCAGACGGTCCGAAGAGTGTGCTAGGGCGATTCTCGGGCATGTACTTACAATATACACATGCACATGGGTGGTTGTCAAAATTAGGGTCCCTTTTTTGGTCCCTAATAATATAATACGGCACCTATTATGGCACCCAAAAGGGGACCCTAATTTTGACAACCACACACATGCACATGTGTACGCGCACACCCACACACACACACAAAGGTATTGCCCCAACATCGTATAGCGACTACATCTGCTTTGCTCGACGACATTGCAAAAACTACTGCTTTACAATGTAGCACAGGTACAACTACACGTCCTGCCTTTTCCATGATGCATCAAAAGCAAAAACGTGCAAACCCGGGTGCCTCGACTACTACGGGGTCATAGTAAGATGAGGTTTGGGAATCCTGCAAGTAAGTCTCACCCTGCTCTCCCGGGTGAGAATGACCGAGCACGCCTGAGGTTCGATGGTTAGGGCGCGAAATTCAAGGCCTTTAGCTTTAGAGTTTAGGAGTGTAGGGCTTTGTAGGGTTTAGGCTTTAGGGTCCAGGGCTTGTGGAGTTTGGGATTCAACATGGCTACTCCTTGCCTGCGTCGGGACCCTGGGATGCAAGCTCCTGGATCGCACTCGGCGGCACCTCGACCTGAGAGCAAAAAAAGGAGTTGGCTTCGGGTTGCTCCCGACTCGTTTCATGCAGGGGCCGTAATGGTTAGAAAAATTAAGGTCTTGGGGCCCGTTATACTAAAGTTATTATAAGGAACCCCAAAATAGCACGGGTAATGATTTCGCCCCGTGATAGCCGAAGACCTTTCGGTTCTTGCCGGAGAAGGGCTGTTGAGACCTCCGTGGAGAATCTCCACCACAAGCTCTGCCTGAGCATGCGAAACCCTAAACCCCATCCGCCCAAAGATCTGCCTTTTAGAGCCAAACTTTCGAAATCTGAGGATTACCCGAAGTTTTTCAAGTTGTAAGGGGAACCCATGACAAGTAGCCTCCCATTACAGGGTCTGCTCTTGGGACCCTCTCCATCTCCAATGTGTCGCCGTCTTTGGAAGATCTTCTGGAGCCAAGGTCTAGAGTGTTGGAGATTTTTTAGGGGTTTGGGTTGAGGGACACCGGAATACCCTGAACTAAATCGTTAAATGCCTTCCTCCCCTGAACCCTCATACCCTCAACACTAAGCCCACACCCCAACCCCTTCATCCCTATCGAAATATCAAAAACCCCCAGCGCATTCAAGGGCCCTGCCAGCTCCACTCCACGAAGGGCGGCAGGAAAAGGCCTGCGCGACTGATTTTCGGTCTGGGGCTTAAGGGTTTCGGGCATTTAAGTTTCAGGGCTTGGGTTTAGGGTTTAGGGTTTGTCGTTTGGGGTTTAGGGTTTGTCGTTTGGGGTTGAGGGCTTTGGGCATTTAGGGCTCATTCAGGGTTCGCGGTTTGGGCTGTTAGGTCCTCAGACGACTAAACCCGGCCTCTTCCTCGGCGGTGTGGGCAAGCTAAGCTGGCCTGCAAACACGGCTCTCAAAGGGCTGCTCGAAATCCAAACTGAATGAGACCGCCTCTAAACCCTAAACCCTAAACCCGTAAACCCTAAACCCTTAAACCCTAAACCCGTAAACCCTAAACCCTTAAACCCTAAACCCTAAAAAACACCTAAACCCCAAAGCCTCAGCACTCGGCCCGAAACACTAAACTCCAACCCCCACGCCCTTAAACTCCAACCCCCCCAACCCGAAACTCCAACCTGCCCTAAACCCTAGACCCTAACCCGAAACCCTGAGCCCCCAAGCCCCTAAACCCCTAAACCCCAGACCCCACCCCCAGAAAGAGAGACCTTGGAAAACCGCCCCCCCGTCCTTGCCTGGAGATTCCCCGACGGATGCCGGCCGCCGCCTCTGGGGGATCACCATAGACTGGGTTCTTGTTAAGGGTTTGGGGTTCAGGATTTAAACTTTAGGGTTCAGGGTTTAGGGTTTACGGGTTTAAGGTTTAGGGGCTAAAGGTTTAGGATTAAAAGGGTTTAGGGTTTACGGGCTTAAGGTTTAGGGTTTTTCACAACACCGTTCAGGATTGTTCGGGTTTTGGAAGATTTCTTTGATAAAACACCCTTCGTCCTCCTGGGCAATCCGATTATCAGTTAGAACTCGCATCGAAAGAAGTGGGACTTGCAGGCTTCGGGTTTAGGGTTTAGAGTTTTCGGGTTTAGGGTTGTGGATTGTCCTGTAAGGGTTGTGGATTTGTGTGTCAGGTCTTGATACAGGAACTGCAACAATTAAAAAGAAAAAGAGTTTTGGGGAGTATGAGCTGCGAACCCACATGTATTTTGAAGAGCTGTTCCTGGATCAGGAGGTTTTTAAGAAACCTCAACCCAAAGCTAAACTCCCAGACCCTCAATTGTGAAAAATCCTGAAATCCTAATCCCCATCAACAGCAAAAAGGTCTGAATCCCTAAGACCATAAAGCACGAAACTGCCATAAAACCTACAAGCCACATGGCCCGAAACGGCCTTAAGGCTACTGCCTACAAGCAAAAACACATCTACAGTCCAGAGCTCTCCGAAACCCTAAAAACCCTAACACAAGGCCCCTCAGCCCTGAAACCATCCTAAACCTCCTCTTGCAGCCCCCATTGATCCCGAAACCCACGACAAATCACTCAAGCCCCAACACCCTACCAGAGCTCTCTCTGCCGAGGCTTGGTCCTGAAGTCGAAGCACCCAAGAGAAACCCTTAATGTAGGGGCCTTAATGATAAGAAGATGGCTTTGGGGCCCATTCTACGATAATTTTGATAAGGAGCCCCCAAAGATTACATAGGTAATTATCAAGGACCCTATGTTAAGAGCTTAAAGGAACCTTTCAAGAGACCTTAAACCCTGCAAGGGAACCCTTCTGGAGAGCCTTGCAAGGACTATACCCCCTTAGAACCATAATAAACATTATAATGTTTAATATTCTCTTGGGTGTTATATGAACAAAAAATTAAAAATATTAGTGATAATATTCTCTTGGGCTTTTTTGAACAGATTAAAAAAATCCCAAGGAACCCTCTATCGCCAGGCCTTGGTCTGACGACCGGGCCAGCCTTTGTGGCCTCGAAAACCGAGGCAGGGTTTCTTGGGCTATGGGGTTTACGATTTAGAGTTTAGTGCTATTGGGGTTATAGATTATAGTTATGATATATGGTGAACACCAGCAATTTGGAACATGGATTTCGGATGATTAGTGCTAGGACCTAGACTTTACCTTAAGGACATGAGGATACTGATGTTCCAACTCTCCGGCTTTTACTCAAGGGGGCTGAAGACGCGGGATTTCTAGAAGACCCTTTAGGGTTGGAGGCTTACCTTAAGACTTTGGGTTTCTATAAAACTGTTTAGGGCGATGGGATTATAGGAGCCTTAAGACTTTGGATTTCCACAAGCAGTATGGGCTCTTCAAGGGGTCCTATAAGGATTCCTCTAAGGGCTTCCGGGAACGCATCTCTGCTGGGTTTTTTACTTCATGGTCTGGTGTTCCGAATTCCGTTTCTGCTGTACCACTGGTGCTTGGTTTCGGTGTTTGCGTAGCGAGATCTCTTGCGGCAAGCAGTTCCCATCTTTAAGCCTTGTATTTAGACAGACTCTGGATTGCTTTCTTCCGAACGCTGTCGATCCAGTATTGGGGATGTCACTCCTGACTCCAACAACGAGTCTTGAAGTTTCTATTGAGGCATTGATGCTTACATACCATGCAGCAAGTTCAACATAAGCACTGGCGGTCATGGCTTCTGCACGTTGACTTCGCATTATAAGGAGTATGTGCGGGCTAAGTGAGTTATGCAAATAGCGTCTTTCCAATTGCCTGGGCCGCATGGGTGTTTGAGTACTGGGTTGAAAATCACACTACCTGGCAAAGAACCAGCGCTTCGGTTGTGCATGAACGCTGGGTTTACAACCTCAGCAAGGAAAGCACGAAGAACAAACCAGAGTTTGACCAACGTTTTCCAGATGCTACGCACATGTGCGATTCAGACTTCTCTCAGTGCGGTGCCCCACCAAGCCCCGACAACCCTGCCAGGCACGCTGGGGCATTAGCCGACATGCTCCTGAATGCTGGGACTATAAAGGGAAGCAGAATATAGGAAAACAGCCCAATAATTGTAGCATGCAGCCTTTTTTCAACTCGGATCTCTTTGGTCTTTGGTCAACCTTCGGGAAGATCGTCGGATCCAGGGTGGGCTCTGCACAACACCCTGATCAGGATAAGACAATCGGCTCGCATGCCAACGACACCTCAGTTGCGAGAACCTTGTATGAGGTCATCAGGGGTTCTTAGTTCGACCCCGACCTTTGGGCTATGCAGGATGGCGTGATGGCATGCCTCTCTTTGCATTCACGTCTAAGGCCTTGAAGGGGGCTTGGTTTGGGCGCACTTCTACCAGCCTTTACGAATCGAAGAACTTCCGATAAACATATGTCCCACGAAGAGCTCCGCAGATTGAAGAACACTTTCGAACATGGTTCCCCAAATAACTTTCCCTACAATCAACAACAACTCTTCAACGGCTCTCCGGGGACCTGTGGCCAGCCACCCCCACCCCCCCCCCCCAGGCCGACCAATCGACGCAATGCGTTCGAGCGGCTGAAGATGGCTGAAGCACCACTATTTGAGGGCCGAAAAACACATAAACATAAGGATCCTATAGAGGCCCTTACACCCCAATAGTAGGATCCTTGTGTTTATGTGGGCTTTCGGGCCCCCAACTTCAGAAACTACTGTTCAAGCGGAAAAGCATGGAGAGCAATCACCAGCAGTTGCAACTTCCAGATCGAAAACGTCGATCCAACTTGTCTACGCAATCACATTTATGTTTGCTTCCCTACTTCTTTTTCTGTTGTGCTTCGGATCTGCTCTTGAAGCTTAAGATGTGAACTGTCAATCGGTCTATCTTCTTACACGTACCACCCGCCCCAGATCAGTGAAGTCAAAACTCAGAAACAACACTCTGATGTTGTACATTTGCGCTATGCGACGGCATCGCTCCCTTCATCTCCCTTCAACTTGTTGTGAGAATTGCGCTTCACGCGCGGCGCTCAGTTTGGGCTTCCGTCGCGCGAGGCCTGGACGCCCTCACGTTCCCATTCATCAAACAAAGCCTGGAAGAATAGCAGCAGAGCTTGAACCAAACCGCATCAGGAAGCACTGCAGCACGTTGGTCGAAAGCAGCACGTTGATTATGAAACGTCTGGCCGCCTGGACTTCTGCCTGCTCTTTCAGAGACCAGCGCTGCTCGATTTGTCGTTGTGCATCTGCAACCTTCCTGGCAAGATGGAAGAGAGGCTACGAGGTTTTGAAGACGTGCTCAATACCTCTGAGGTCTGAGGAACCAGCATAAACGTCTCAGCAGGGATGCTCTGTCCTCCGGAAGTGGCCTGAATCAAATTCATTTCATTTCATTCCTGGGCGCTCGGCTGCGCTCCACGCATATGGAATTAGGCCGACGGCGGCACGGCCTGTGTCGAGAGCACACAAGATTGAGGAAGGAGCTGCCTTGTCCTGTCAGAAATTTCCCCTGCCGAAGGGCGTCTTGACGATTCTACACTGGCCAGCTGAGGACTACATCAACGCGATATGTGACAGCTGCAAGCTCACCCTCCTCATGGTAGGCAGCTCGAGGAGCCTGACGTTTCGCCTTACAGAAACTTAAGGTCTTACGAGGTCTTAATCGCGGCTCCAAAACACATTCGGGAAAACCGTTCTCTAGTTACCTAGCTGAAGGCCACGCGGGCGGATGAAAAGCAGGCGCAGGTTCGAATTGGACGGCAGCACCTTCAGCTGCATTCGACTCCAAGAATGCCCTGGCAGTTGCCACCCAACCATGCGACCTGCCAAGGGCTTCTCTGCTGGCCAAGGCCTCGGCTCGTTGGGCGCTGTTTCAAGCAACGCCAGTTTGGGGGTTCGCATACTTCATCCATGGACACGGAATGACATGGGCATGTGCTGGCTTCTGTTTCTGCGTTCTGCACGCTTCACGGTCAGTGCAGTTAACTCCAACAAGTGAGGCTACGGTGACATCCCCAATACTGGATCGACAGCGTTCGGAAGAAACCAATCCAGAGTCTGTCTAAACACAAGGCTTAAAGATGGGGAACTGCTTGCTGCAAGAGATCTCGCTACACAAACACCGAAACCAAGCACCAGTGGTACAGCAAAAACGGAATTCGGAACACCAGACCATGAAGTAGCTAGTGTAATGTAGGAACCTGATGAAGAAACCCTGGGCCCATAGCCCCAAAATAATCGGATTCATATATAAGGAACCCTAAGAAAGGCCCAAGGTTTATTAATCAGGTTCCTAAATTATCCCCACTTCAGACGGTTCTGGGACGACGGCTTAAAGCCCATCCAGTCCCCAGCCCTCCTACAGTGTCCAAATGCACAAGTCCAAGCCCCGACGCTTTGGTGTTTGGGGCTTAAAACGCTCCTTGTTATAATTACAATATAATATAACCCCCCAAGCCCTAGGGTTTAGGGTGAAGGGTTTAGGGTTTAGGATTTAGGGTTTAGGGCTTAGGGTTGGGTTAGGGTGAAGGCCGCCGAATCTGGGCTGACAGGTCTTCTCCTCTCCCCCCCCGCCTTCACCAAGGCAGCGCCCTCCACCGTCATTCGTGACCAGGACAGCACCCGAGCGGTCACGCATCCGTCTGAGAAAATATGGGGACCTTATTTTGGGGTCCTTATAATGAGGATCCTACTATTTAGGGTACTGTATTAGGGTCCCTAATTTCGGAAAGCCCCATATGGAGCTTTCATGCGAGAGCATTCAGACATTGGCTTCATACAACTGCCAGATGCGTCGGTTGCAATCATGGAGCTGGTGCTTCAGACTGCCCAGAGGCGGCGACGCGGAATTGTCGGAAAGGTACTCTGAATAGAAACGGGTAGACGCTCAACCCCAAATCGTAAAGCCCAAACTCCTCAACTTCTAGACCCTTCTACAATCACGCAAGTGTCGGCTTGTGCTGCTTCACTTGGAATCCGCACTACATCGCTGCGACATGTTACGTTTGATGACATACATTACATTACAGTACAGGTACATTGCGGCACATATCTACATACATGCCCACAGGCATGCCTACATACATACCTGCCTGCGTGCCCACATGTGCCTGCCTCCTGCCTGCAGGCATGCTTGTGTACATGCATACATTGTACATAAAATTATCGACTTGGTAACTTTGTTCCCTGTGTCTGTCTATCCAGACAGAAGCTCAAAACTCAGCATGACTGTGCATCCTCCTGCGACGAATTTAGGGTGTCGGGCTCGGGTCTCACGGTTTGGGGTTTAGGGTCTCTAGGTCAATCCTCTCACCGTCCCGGAACACCACGGCCTTATAAACCCCAAACTCGACAAGTACAGTATGAAAACAGCATACTGGAGTACAATGAAGTATAGTACAGTAGAGTAAAGTTGAGTAGCGGATGGAATAGTTTAGTGTAGTGTAGTGTGTAGTGCGTAGTGTGTCGTGTACAGTGTACAGTGTATAGGAGTATAGTATCGAGTATAACATATAGCATACTAAACAGTTGAGTGTAAAATCGAATATCAAGTATAATATACAATACCATGTATAGTATACAAGAAAAATAGTAGATATAATAGCGTACAGTATCAGGTGTATAGTATAGCACAAATAATCGCATACAGTATCGTGTGTAGTATAGTATCAAATATAGGATGCAGTATAGCAAATTGTAGTACGGTATACAGTATACAGTTTGTAATAGATAGAACGGTGTGCTAGTAGGTGTGCTAGTATATTTATATAACATGGCATGGTATAGCATGGTATGGAACAGCGTAGTACAGCATGGTACTTTATCGTATAGTATCTCGTCGTTGAAACTTGAATGCCAAAGCCCCCTTGCAACAGTGGTGGAAGGCTTTTTGCCGTCGCTGGCAACGCTGGCCGCGGCCCTACAGCTAGATCCTGCCTTCCCAAGCCGTCTCTTTGCTCAACCCGTACACGGTGTTGAAGCCTTGTCCTGGGACGAACCCATGAGTGCCACACTGTGGCGATGTGCGAGATTGTCAAGCTGCAGGAGCGTACGCAACGATATCAAAGCCTAAACTCTAAACCCTCAACCCTAAACCCTACAAGAGTTACAGTGTCCAGCTGGCCAACACAACAGCATAAGAACCCACAACCCGCAGGGCCTAAGTGGACGCGCTCGAAAAGCAGGGATTCGAACCGATAAGCAAGCCCTAATGAGAACTATCAATCTATCTACCACTGTATCTATCTGTCTGCCTATTTGTCTGTCCGTCCGTCTGTCTGATCTGTCTATCTATCTAATCACCTATCTTTCTGTCTATCTCTCTCTCTTCTGCCTAGCTACCTTCCTATCTACCTAGCTATCTGTCTGTCTGGCTACCTTCCTATCTATCTAGATAGGCGCCTACATGTAGATTTACACCCACTATGTATATACCATTCCCTACTACGCCCACTATGGCATCTTTGAGCCAAGGGCACAACTGGCCCCACATTACGTCTTTTCTATATTTCTCAAAACGAGGCACCTTCTCGATTGATGGTCCCTGAAGATTGTTAGGATCTCTGCCACGCTTCAAGCGAAGTTTGTCCTTTCCCAGAAAGCAGTCTTGCTTGTGGAGGCGTAGTTTGACACAGCTATAGGCATTGTAGGCTTAGCTGCCGTACAGTAAACCCATACCGCTCAGCAAGTGGATGGAGACTTGAGAGGCTGCAAAATAATCAAGGATGCATCGTTATGCATCGTACTACAGTGTATTGTGTTGTGTTATGTGGCGCTTGTCGTATTACCTTTAGACATATTGCACTGCAGTGTACAGGTACATGATGATGACGTATACTATGCTCTACTCCACTATGCTACGCTATACGAGGCTATACTATACCGCACCATACTATGCTATGCTACACTATACAAACAAAAAACATAGAATACAATGCTATGCGAAAATACTACTACTTCTATACCCAGACGACACTTCTTTATACTACACTACACTATACTACAGTATGGTGTACATACTAAACTCTACCCTACAGTTACACTGCCACCTATGAAGGCCTCTACCCCATAGAAGCTTATAGTAGCCCTTATAGAATCCTTTAAAGGAGCCCTATCCCTACAGCTACTCTGCACCTATTATTAAGGCCTCTACCTTTTGGAACCTTCCAGTCGCCCTTGCCTTATCGAGCCCTTTAAAGGAGCCTTTTCCTAAACCCTAGACCACATACCCTTGAACCCTAAACTATAGGACCCTTGAACGCCTTTATAGGACCCTTTAAAGGAGCCTCATCCCTACAGAAACTCTGCTACCTTGACCTCCTCGCCCATCTTTCGCGGAAGGGTTTAGGGGTGTCTAGGGGGTTTAGGGTTTAGGGGTGGAGGGTTTAGGGTTTAGGTCGCTGCTTCGAGGCGGGTTCAGGGGTTCAGGGCTGGTGAGACAACCTGAGCTGTACATCCGATCTAGATAATTGATCCGATCAGGAACAGGAACAGGGTTGGCTCACAAGAATCTCTGAAGCCTGCCACGTCCGCGCGAACTTTGGGGTTTAGGGTGCAGGAGTTTTTCTAGACTCAGTAGAAGCATGGTCGCACGGTGTAAGTATTAGTTGCTAGTTTGGGAGTGACAGCGTGCCAGGTACGGTGATGAATCAGAATAAGGTTTCGGGTCCCAGTATACTATAACTATAATAAGGAAACCCCCAAAATAGTATTGGTAATTATTCAGACCCCATAGTATAGTACCCTTATAGATCCCTTATAGTAACCCTCATATAGACCCCTTTAAAGGAACCCCATTAAAGATTTCCCGGCAATTCCACAATGCATCATCATGCCACGGGCTCGGGGGGTCGAAGAACTCAGGCTTTAGGGTTTAGGGTTCACAGTTTAAGGTTTAGGGGTTTTAGGGTTTAGGGGTTTAGGGTTTAGGGGTTTAGGGTTTATGGTTCTCGCCAAAGCTTGCAAACACGGCAGACTGCGCCGACAACAGAGATTGCGAGCTGCGAAAAGCCGACTCCCAGTACCCTGCTGAGCTTGGATTTCGCGAACATGCACCAAAACACGATGTTGCTGCTCCTGTGGCAGCTGCGGAGTACTAGCTACTAGTCAGTAGTACTGCAGGTACGACCATTGCCGTCCACTAGAGCATATGATAGTCTCTACATGTCTTTATTTTCGCGATCTGCGCTGGTATGTTCACAAGAACTGGTATCATGTCATCATCCTGCTGTTCATGCCTTGCTTTGTTACGGATCTACCTCCATGTCTGGATGTTCTGATTGCTTTTGCTACAGCCATACCCCCTAAACCCTGAAGAAGGAAGCTTGCCCGGAAAGCGGTGCTCGGCTCGCACTTGTCGGTAGTATTTGCGTTTCAAGCTTCTTTAGGCTGGAGTTTAGGCCGGAGGCTTTAACTTCGGGAATAAGATTCTGAGAGCCACCACGCATGCCCAGTGCACATTATGTCTGATCGTGTTAGGCCTGGCGATATCCCAACGACTCAGTTAATTCCACTCCGTCACCTGTCTTTCATTGCCTGGAACTTGTCTGTCTAGCTGCCCAGCAGCATACCAAGATGGCCTTGAAACCATGCCGCAGACGGCCAGGAAATTGGTCTTGCAGTTTCAAGCGGGCTCTCATCCTCTGTGCAGAAACACGGGGGCCTCTCACATGTTCCAGAAAAAGAAACAAGGATAATCCGTGGCCTCCAGGCACTTAAGGCTGCGAGATTGGCTCCGCAGGATGATCTGTCTCACGCTCGAAACTCTCAGGCCAAAGGCCGCTGTGCCCGCCGGTTTGATAACGGCCCATGAGGCACTGAGGCCTATAGGGAAACGTAGACTATTGAATATTGCCTCGGTTCGGCCACGGCTGGACATCTGCTCAACATCAGATCTGCCAAGTTCCGGATGTGGGTGACCGAAACCCGAAAAAGAAGGGCCCTTGTAATTTTGTCTAAAACCTCAAATAAACGGAACGGAACTTCCTACAACCAAGCCTCGCGTTGTTTTTGGAGGACAGGGCTCCGGATGAGAAACAGCAGCGCTAAGAAACTAAAACTACTACTACTACTACTACTCCTCCTGCTGCTGCTGCTACTACTACTACTACTACACTACTACTACTACTACTACTACTACTACTACTACTACTACTACTACTACTACTACTACTACTACTACTACTACTACTACTACTACTACTACTACTACTACTACTACTACCACTCTACTACCATTCCTAGTCGGGGAGTCCCGTGAGAAAGGAGAGCAGAGAGTCCATGGCGTGAAACCAGGAGCCAAGCAAAGCTCGATGCCACGGAGCTCAAGACCCAACCTCTGCCCAAAGATCACCCTAGGGTTTAGGGTTTAGGGGTGGTTTAAGGTTTAGGCGTTAAGGTCCTTCTGGTTGTAACATACAGGCCTTCAGAGCTGCAATTATTTTGGGGACTCGTCATTCTTGCGGCCTATAGACTAGTTTGGAAGGTTGGGTCGATTGTCGTGTGCCGGGTTGCATTGACCCAGTCCCACTGCTTGGCCCGAAAGAGTCTGGATGACTTTGGCTGCACCAGCTGCATGGAAGGCTAGCAGAGGATGGTTTAGGGTTCAGGGTTCACGAAACACATGAAGCTGCGCTGGCAGCTTGACATGATGCCAAAAAGCAGCTGGTGGCGGGAGTATGGCAAACTGCTCACGGCTCCGAGTAGCAGAGCAGACATGATGAAAAAGAGCGATACAAGGATAGTTTGTTTAATCGCATCCAGCCTCACTGGAGCCGTTTTTCATGTCAGCGCCTATTCGCGCATCTTGTTGTGAGACTTTCGAGACTGCTGGACTGTGCTTGGGTCACCGAGCGCAAGGTGTCCCTCACGCCCGGAATTGAAAGGCCCTGCAGCAAAACTCAGAGATCCTCCAGGGCCCCCGTGGCTGACGAGCTCGAAGCTAACCACCTGAGCTGCTCTCCTCATCCTCATGGAAGAATGCCGCGTTCGCTGCGTGCTTCTCAGGGTCTCAGGGTTGGCTTTAGGAAACTCGGGATGTCTTGGCTGCTCGGCGGTTGCTCAAGTACGTCGTCATCATCACCGTGTCCTCCTTCTGCAGCATCTTGCTAGCATCTGCTTGCACCCTGAATACAGTGCAGTCACAGTCTGTGCTCCTGCTCGCTGCAGTGGTCATGTCAACTGGCCCTGGCCCTAATTACTAGTAGCACCCTAAACCCCTCAGTCGCAATTAAAGGGACCCTTACAGGCACCCTTACGGGAGTCCTTACGGGAACCTGAACAGGCTCGGCTTTTGCAGTCCAAGCGTCGCCGGCCGCGTTCCCCCTCTCGCGAATCCATCTGGCGACGGCTGGCGAAATCGGAACGGAGCCTTGGCGTAAGGCTTCCTTTAAAGGCTCCTTTAAGGGCTCATTTCCGGCTTCCTTTAGAGGCCGCTTTCGACGAAGGTGGACGGTGTAGGGCTGGGGTTTTTGCGGTTTAGGGCTTGAGGGTTTAGTAAAGCCTAAGGCTTAAACCCTAAAACCTCAGCCCCAACACCAACTTAGGACTCTAGGCAAGGCTTTCGGCTCCGAAAATCATACGGCTGGCAACATCGACCCTTGACTGGCACATCCTCCCTTTACAAGGATGAACAGCGGCACCCGATTCAATGCTCCTCTAAAACAACTCATCAGAACCGCCCTTCGATCGACATGTTGGCGGCAGTGTCGACGATTCCCTGGACTCACGGAAGGACACGACTGTAAGGCCCTCTCCAAGCAGAGGCATGCTGCCTATATAAATGGCTGTGGGTGAAGACTACAGCGCATAGCTGTAGCCATATTGGACTAGTGAGACTAGTTGGGGGGGATACCATCCGTACCGATTCGGACCTCTGCATTGCTCCAAGCCCGCTGAAATTGAATCTCAACTCCTCGGAGATGCAATCTACGTCGCCCCAAGCTTTCAGCTGAAACCATGGACCCCCACAACCTTCAACCCCTGACTAAACTCCTGTAAATCCGGTGCAGTCCGAGCCGGCCTTCTGAAGGTATCACACTTTCATCAACAATGCCTGAAGCGAAGCTAACTAAACCCTAGACCCTGAACCCTAAAACTAAACCTAAACCCGGCTTCTCAGGCGTAGGATTTGGAGGTTTTGGGCTTCGGGCTGAGGGTTTAGGGGCTTGGGTTAGGATCAGGGCTCTAATGATCTGAACAGGGTGTTGAGGTTGTGGTGTACGATAAGGCTACTCGGGACTACGGGGGCATACCTCGTACTAATTAGTCAGGAATCCCTACATCATTGGTTCAGCCTCTTGGCTTAGGGTTCAGGGTTTGAGGCTTGCGGTTTAAGGCTTAGGAGGTTTACGGTTCCGGGGGCGGTTGAATGGTATAGGGGCCTTCATAATTAGAATAAGGCTTTGGGGTATATTATACTATAACCACAATAAGGAACCCTGGGAATATGTTGGGTTGAATACCTTGTGCTACATGGTCCCATGGGATCAGGTGGGGTCGACATGGTTGGGGGGTCGTAAGGTGTAAAGTTTAGGGGTCTAGGCTAGCGCTTTGGCTTCTCAGTACAAGATTGGAGAAGTTGCGCCTTTTTCATGGCCGTCATTATCACACCCAAAACCCTAAACCACGCTAAAGATTCCCGACTCTGGGGCCTTGGGTTCTAGGGTTTAGGGTTCTAGGGTTTAGGGTTTAGGGTTTTAGGGTTTAGGGTTTAGGGTTTTAGGGTTTTAGGGTTTAGGGTTTAGGGTTTTAGGTTTAGGGTTTAGGGTGTCTAGATCGGGTCCCACGACTACCTCTTAAAGCGGCCATCTTTACACAGAAGACTTCGGGAAACAGCGCCGAGGAGACAGTTCCCTGTGCTCTCCAGGCCCTTAAAAAAAAGCTCCTCTAAGGCTATCTGTTAGGGTTCCTTTCAAGGGCTCCTTTAAGGCTTGCTGTTGGTGTTCCTTTGAAAGGCTCCTTTTGGGGTTACTTTTCGGGTTCCTTTTAAGGGCTCCTTTAAGGCTGCCATTTGGGGTTCCTCTTGAGGCCTACTTTCAGGGATCCTTGTAGGGTTCCTTGATGGGTCCGTGGGCTTTTCTGGAACTCGCCCATCCAATCTTGGCTGAAAAATCTAAAGCCAAACCCTTAACTCTAAATCCTGAGCCCTAAACCGGCTCGAAAAGAGGAGCGCACGAGGCCCGATGCTGAAACCGACTCGAAACCGGAAGCTCAGGCTAATCTCGAAGCGTTCATGAAGAAATTTGGCGTTTGGGTGATACATATTGCAGCATAGTTCTGCCGAGGCTACTATAGGGAAGCATCAGTGCAACTTATTGAAGCCACGGTGTTCTAAACAAACTGATAAGCCCTGGTACTCAAAACCTCACGGACCCTTGTAAAACCCTGTTACCGAATTCTAATCCCCCAGCCCGAAGCCCTATATTATACCTATATATCATGAAACCCTACGTAAAGCCTACACCCCAACAAATCTTGACAGGAGACGATGGAGGGCGTCATCGAGCAAGTTGCGATCGTCCACGTCCTCCCCCGTTGTCGCACAGAAGAATAGGGAGCTATGCAGGATTATGTCGAGTATGATGCGGATCCACTCTCCCACTCCTCCTTCAGCAGCAGTAACACTCCGGTTTTCGGGCTCAAGGATTAGAGCTTAGGCTTTCCGGTTTAGGGAGCAGGGACTAGGGTTCAGTTAGGGTTCAGGGCTTTGGGATGTTTGCTTTGGGAACTCTGAGTTCTAAATTGTGGGGCACCCCTTGCGGCCAGGGCAAACCGAGGACCTAGGTGCTCGGATTCTTTGTTTGCGCTGTAACCCTAAAGGCCCTGAACCCTAAGCCCCTCTCTGGTGTCTTTTTGGGGGTTTAGGGCTTCGGGATCAGATGCCCTGTCGGAATCTCCCAGCCCCTCCTCTTCCGGTGGTGTCCGCATTGGTTCGCCTGAAACGTTTAGGGATCCTACATGCGTTCCTACAAGAGTTCCTGTACGGGTTCCCATGGACCCGAACCCCTAGACCCGAAATCTCTACAAGGGTTCGCACGATTCTGCCGTTGCTAGAGTGTTTATGGACACCCTGTGAGAATGTAGGAAGGCGATCGACAAAGTCCGGGCTTTCATTCACCAAAGTAACACAGCTCAACCCTAAACCCTTAACCCCTAAACCCTAAACCCATAGCAATCAGAGAGTTGCTTCGACTTGGATTCGACTCGCACATGATATGGGGCACGGGGCTTGCCAAAAATCGAAAGTCGTAGCCAGCTTACCACCAACCAGGGCACAGACTGGAAGCAAACATGTAAGGTATGCTTCGCAGGGTGCCGCCCGAAATCCTCAGCCTGAAAACCTGAGCCTAAGTTGTGAACGCGACTGCCCCTTTATAGCCTTAAGGGAGGGTAGTTCAAGCGGGGAAGATACAAGGAATCCTTAAAGGACTCTAAGGGGGGTACTAGGGAGAATTAAGGATCACTAGGCTATGTACCCCCTTTGGACCCCCCTCCCTTAGCTCCAGCCAAGCTGCAATACAGCGGGGTGGGCTTGTGGAACCCGGGCAGAAACTGCAGATGTACCTTGCGCACAGAGGCAGTCAGGGTCTTTGTGGCCTCCTAACCCTAAATCCCGAGCCCGAAACAACGCCGAAAACCACAGGGCTTTGGGATTGGCCGGGTTTGGGTTTAGGGCGTTTAAGACTTAGGGCCTAGGGGTATCGACATTCCTGAGAAGCGCTTCAGCAAAATGCTGTAAAGCGGAGTAGCATGATCACAACATGCAGTGCCAAAGACTTGCGTCGCAATGCTCTGAAATCTTGAGCTCTGACAGCGGTCCAGCAAGACAATGCGAAGAAACTGGGTGATAAACATCAAGGGGTTTGGGCTCGACCGCACTAATGTAAGGGTCGCCCTGATATGCTCACAGCATAACGCACCCCCAAACCCCAAACCCATTCCAATCAAAAAGGCCCCGATATTGCAGGAACTCCCATTTCCTGATGTGGGTCAACACAATACCCTGCACGGCTGCCTGAGCCCCTGATTCGTTTAGAGTTGTTTTGTGCGTTTTTCAGCCCCCTTTTCCTAGTTTAGAGTTTAAGGTTTAGGGTCCCTGAACAAGGCCATGCTCAAGGTCTTTTGATGGGTATTTGGCATGCTTGCCGTTGGGCTCTAGGGTTTAGAGTTTAACGAACTCACGCATCCAGAAAAGCACTTGCGCAAGGCGCCTTGGCCACAAACTGGTCCAAGGCGTCATAGCTACGAAACCGAACACGCGCGTAGCCACGGCATTTACCTGCGCCACCAAAACCAGCTAACGAGGAAGGAGACTCCTATAAACAGTGCTCAAGGGTACCAATGCGGGACTTAGATATGACGCTGTCAAAGGCAGGTCACCCGAGAATGACTACCAGGCACTGTCGGAGTTCGCCTCAAGTGCATCAAACTCCTTTGCGAGTAAAATATAGGGGCCTAAAAAATTGGAATAGGGTTCGGGGATGTATTGTACTATATTGAAGACCCCTAAATTTTTTCGAATTGTACAGGCCCCTAGATTGCTAGAAAAATCCTTGAGGAACCTTAGGGAACGTTCTCAAAGCGCTAAGGAGAACTGGGTCAAGTGTCAGGGTTTAAGGTGTTTGTTGAACTCCTTTTCTCCAGTGCCCCGAAAGGTCTCGAGAGGCCGCGACGACCAGGACACAGCCAGGGTTTAGGGTTTAGGTGTTTAGGGTTGCCCCCCCCACCCCCGGTCCGTGGACCCCTTTGCAAGGTCTGAGCCTTTTGCATCCACCGGACTCCCCCTTCTATACCTCCAGCACTCTAGAAGAGAAAACGAACAAACTTAGAGTGTTAGGGTTTAGGGTTCAGGGTTCAGGGTTTAGGGTTCGTGGGTTAGGGTTTAGGATTCATGGTTTAGGGTATAGGGTTCAGGGTTTAGGGCTTAGGGTTCAGGGTTTGGGGTTTTTTGGTACGCCTTGCACTTCGGAGGAGCGACTCCTGGGACCGGAGGCAAGACTCCGAGGGTCTCAGCGAGACTCCAAGGACTATCTGGTTCTTAGGAGGGAACGGGGTTCCTTTAAGGGTTCCTTTAGGGTTCCTTGAAGGGTTACTGTAAGGGTTACTACAAGGGTATACTATCGGGGGTCTTACGGTATCTATGGCCCTTGTCCGGTACTTAGTAGGGAATTCGGGGAATGGATTATGGAGACTGCGATTGGAGATTGTATAGGGACTCCTACAGGGATCCATTCCCCCATTCCCTCCTAAGCACCAGACAGGCCAACCATCCAAAACCCTGGAAAGTTGGTGATGTAGGTACCTGATCTTATAACCCCCAAATAGCAGGATTCATAGAAGGAGCCCTGAGAAAGGCCCAAGGTGTCTGTCTTGATCAGGTTCCTACATTACACCCGAACATGATCCTGTAGAGACGGTTCAGAACCCTTGCAGATCGAATATGAAGGGTCCCTCGAAAAACACCGAATATGGGAGTTTCCGAAAATTAGGGGCACCGTATTTTGGGGTCCTTATAAGAAGGGATCCGACTGTATAGGGTACTATATTAGGGTCCCCTATTGTCGGAAACTCTCATAAAAGACCCCCCAAACAGCACCCTTGTACCAGACTCAACCGGGCCGCCGTTCGGATGTAGAGCGACGTCCACATCGTACCCGTGTAAGCCCAAGCTGCGGAAGAATCCTTAGTAGCGATCCCTAAAGGGGCTCCCTCAAGCGTTCCTTCGGAGGGGTTCCTTGAAAGGTTCATTAAAGGGCTCCTCAACGTGTTCCTTAGAGCTTCCTTACCGAAGGGGCCTCCGAAATTCTACCTCTCGGGGCACATTATCGGTACACTAATCAGAAACAACCCTGAGGAATGATATCGGCAATTATTCCGGGTTCGATAGTACAGGTTCCAAGCTTGAAGGGCTCGTGAACTACAAGGGATCTATGATACCGGTATAAGAAGGGGTCAAAAGACAGTGGTAGCACGAAGGATCTAGAAAAAAGGCTCAGAAATACGGGCACCAGTTTGAAGGGGCCTGAATTACGGGTGCCAGAAGGAAGCTACAGTGATGCTTTGAAAGCCCTGGGGCTCAGGCCTCGGATTCATCATGCAATGGCTTTGCACCCCGTGATAGCGGACCCCATGGATCGGATGTTTAGTGTGTTGGGTTCAGAGTACTCAAAACGAAGACTAAAAATACAAAATAATTCTTGTCCGCAAAGAAGGGATTAACAATCATGTCATGTTCGTGGGACTACAAATTATCGCAGTTTGATCTAACACGATTATGATGCATCATTCCCTCTGCGGATATGGAGATCATGATGGTCTCAGCATTACACTCACGGCCTGGCATGAATCAAGACAGGCGGCTGGAGAGCGTCTGACGATCACACTTGGAGGGGATGTTCCGTAGAAAAACCGCCGACGCGCCACGCCATCGATCATCATCTGTTGCTGTAGTAGCTTGAAGGCCTCAGTGGCTGGATGCCAGCATCAGCTGTGCTTCGGGGCTTAGGCTTAAGGGATAGAGGTTTAGGGTTTAAGGGATGCTAAAGCTGTTCAGGGCAAATCCCATGTCGGTCGCCGCGGTTCTCTGTAGAATTGGGGGGCTATCAAGGTTCAGGGCTCGTGGTGTTGGGGCGGTTTGGGGTAAGGTTTAGGGGAGCATCGTTTAGTGCCGTATAGTGTGGTACAGTTGTACGGTATAGTATGGATTATGATCTTCTATAGAAACTAGTATGTTATACATAATGGTATGTTCTAGATTATAGTATCTCTCGTATAAAGCTCAGCCTCAGCTCTTATCCTGAAATCGGGATCTTTGGCGTCTTGCCGCCGGGCAGCTCGCAGCCTCCGATATCATTCTTCATCTTTCAAGACGGCGACGTCCGTCCTCATCACTACCTGCCCTGAGAAGCCGAGATGCGCCGGAATTTTGGCGACGCTGGGAGCGGTGAGAGAAAGGCGTCGTAGGGGTAGGGGCCTAAGTAGCTCCAAATCCACAAATCGGCCACCCTAGGGCCCCTGAGCCCTTGAGGCTGCGGGCGGAGAAGTATGCTAGGCTAGAGCTTGCTGTCCCATATCTTTCGACACAAGGTAGCATCGCGCACCAGGGTTTGTAAGGATCCGAAAAACCACACAAAAACACCCCCACTTCCACCTCACCCTTAGCTCAAAACAGTCTCCTGCCGACACCTGCCGAACCTTCGCATTGAAAGTCTGGCTCTGAACCTTAAAACCCCTAGACCGCAAACTCTGCTTAAGTTTAGGGTTGAAGGTTGTGGATTCAGGGTTCTAGGGTCCTTCTTCGTGCAACTTGGCAAGGACGCTTTCTGCAGGCGCATGGTGCTGAAGGACCGTCCCACTACCCTGCACCCCAGCAAGACCCTGCGAGGGGCTTCAGGGGTTGGGGGGTCATTTGGAGTTGAGTTTAGGGTTCAGGGGTAGGGGTCGTTTAGATGTAGGGTTTTCGCCTCGGGCCTGTAGCTGCAAGGGATACGGGTGGGGACACCGGCTCCCCAATGAGGGCTTGTTGGGGCAACCAAGTCCCATCTGCTGAGGAGGCTGGCAGAAACACTCCAAATCTGGAGCTCAAACCGGACTTTCTTGCTTGCCCACGGGGTTGAGTAGGGTTTGGGGTTGGAGGGTTCAGGGGGATTCACTCTCATTGCTCTTGCCAGCGGAATCATCTTGCGTCTGCCTTGCAACTTAAACCCCAAGGCTTAAGCGTTTTCTGCTCAGCCTCCTTGCAAGTTTGTGCGACACGCTCGTGGAAGAAACCCTCCTCTCAAAGCACGGCTTTCTCCATGCCTATAGCTCCCTAGATCGTTTCGCCCTATACATCTTGTAGAACCCTTGCCTGAAACCCAAAACCTCGAACACATCTAGAACCCATGCATAGAATAGAATCGTAAAGCATACTACGGCAGTTATTATAGTATACGAGAACATATTGGTATAGAACATAGCATAGTGTCGTATTGGTGTCTCTCCGAATTTCGAAGACCTGGCTCTGAGTTGGACAGCCCGAAGCCTAGGGTTTAGGGTTAGGGTTTAGGGTTTGGGGGTTTAGGATTTAGGGTTTGGAGCTTCGGGTTTAGGGTTTGGGGTTTAGGATTTTTCTGGCGTAGTGCCTTGGGTCTCAGAGTCTCAGGGTCTTCAGCCCAAGGGTCGACGCGTCCAAGGGTCCTAGGGTCGTCGTGTCCCAGAGTCCTGGGGTCCTTTGGTCTTCAGGTCGTAGGGAATAAGGGTCTAAGGTTCGGGGTTTACGGTTCAGGGTCCTTGCTGGTATATTCACAACAGACTTCGTGTCCAGATGAACATCCGAATTTTGACTTAAACTCCAGTGCCTACGGGTTGATGCAAGGACAACCCCTACCCTGCCTCACTTCTGTTGACTACTGCCGCTGTTACGATTACACTTAAGCGTCTGCATATTTTTTAGCCCTTATTGTACAGCCCTCCGCGCGTCTTCTAGTCAAGATCATGAGCGAAATTGCGCAAGGGCTACTGTGCTACTGCAGTAGCATGGAAGTCTCTGATATATTCTGTAGGATCCGGCGGAAAGGGTTTGCGCTAGAGCCGTCTCACCCCAGCGCACTCTGCGACTGCAAGCAGCCATCGAGGATGCCTCAAAATGGGCTTCTAATCAACACCCAAGACTTGTAAGCCCTACGACCAAGTCCGGGTGGCATACCATGACATGATGGGGATGAAGGATTACTTCCGAGCAGAGTTTACATTGCAAGGCAGGAAAGAAGGAAAGGCACCGGCCCAAACGGTTAGAGGTTCCCAAAGAGACTTCCTGTGTTTCCTCCTCTTGGTCCCCTGTCCCCCTGCCTGTGGAAACACTGACCAGCCCCAAGGCGCAATTGTGGAATTTCATGTTGTCCACTGTGAAGGCAGGTTCGCTTTTTGACTGCTAGAGCACTTGGGGCATCAATAAGATAAGGGGTAGGTTGTACCATGACTAGAGCGGGACTACGAAGGGCGATTCGTCCCGTTTGCTCAGAACTCTCAACTTCTCTCACCAACCTACTATAGGGGCCTTATTAATTAGCTATAGTTATTTTGGGGGGGGGTTCCTTACTACAACTATAGTATAACGGGCCCCAAAACCCTATTCTAATTATTCAGGCCCCATGTCAGGGCTCGGGGTTTGGGGTCAGGAAGTTTGGTCGACTACTCTCCGGCTCTCGACCCTTAGGTTTCTTTTTTTGAGCTCCTTTTTGATGTCTGCCCGCCGTCTCCTACAACCCTTAGGGTTTAGGGTTTAGGGTTCCGACACCCCGTGAACTGCACCACCGGAGACGCCTGGATGGTACTGGAGCTCCTTCTCCCAATCGTCGGCCTCGTCGGACGCAAGGCGTAAGCAGAAGGCCAAACACTTTGTAATTTTCTACTCAAGTCCAAGTTTCATCCGCTTGTCGGATAAGTAGGCCATTCAGGTTCCAGGATGTTGACGGGATACGTGGCGGGCCATAAAGCTTGTAAACCCCCTCTCTTCGGGTATGGGAGCCTTGATGGGGAGTCGTGTGATCTACTAAAAACCTAAACCTAGTACAACGACAGCAGGCGGCTGCTTATCCGGGAGTCTGTAGAGGACCCCAATAGAATCCTACAGTGCGAGAGCCGTTTTTGCAGAACTTGTGACACAACAACCCGATAACAGCCCTATACACACCTCTAAATTCCCAAGCTCCCATGAGAACCCTGGTTTTGTTTGAGAGCTGGCCTATCACTTCACCCCGTACCGCCGTAGATCATGCGAACACTCCCCTGAAGCCCTCAACCCTAAACCCCTAAAGCCTGAACCCCTAAACCCCAGAATTTAGCCTTCAAAAACCATCCTTTGCCTCGTCCGAGATCTGAAGGCATGCGATGGCCTTCAGCGAACCCAGATCGCCCTGGCAGAGGCTTAGGGCTTCGGCTTGCGGGTTAGTTGAGGCTTTGATTTCGGGTGTTTAGGAAGCTTAGGATCTCGGGCTGGGCTTGCAGGTTGAGGGCTTGATTAGGGTGTTGAGGAAGCTTAGGATTTCGGGCTTGGGGTTTCGGGTTGCGGGTGTAGGGTCATGCTTTTGGAAGGTTGCAGTCCCTGTGTCGAACGAATTGGATCCAAAGTTCAGTCTGAAGGGACATGCACACCACGCCAACAAAGCGTTCCCAACTGTGCTCCCGACACTGTTAGCCACAGCGACCCCAGCCACTTTGCACGCGCAGAGTACAAACGATACTTGCGCATGGGCCTTAATCACTATCGCCAAACCCACTGGCCAAGAACCTTCAGCTCCACCTGAGGCACAATCCTCAATCCCTGCAACCTGAAGACCTGAAATCTAGTACCGTTCCTGAACCCAACATCTCTTCCCTGCGGATGCCTCTACGCCAGCCATGTGGGTTGGATTCAAGCATCGGAAGCGAGGCCCATAGCCTTTGCTGGTCAACGAAACCATCTCTCACGATAAGAGCATGCTATTCGCTGTCGTTTAGGGGCATGGGGGTTTAGGGGCTTAGGGGCTTAGGGTTTGCCAGGGTTTAGGGGTTCAGGGAAGTTTAGGATTTAGTTTAGGGTTTAGCCTCTACTCTCCGCCTGGATGGCTGGGTGCACTGTTCGTGCGTGACTACGTCCTGTCTTTCTCTACAGGCTCGTACCATTAGAAGCGCTTTAGACATACCACTGCGACACTATGATGTTGTTCTGCGCACCCTTGTTGATGACGGCGGCGATCAAGAAGTTAAAGTGAGAACTTTCGCCATAATCATGATTTCGTATTGCTAGGACTTCCACGTCTCCCCGGTGACTCGACAGCCCTGGTCTAATTTCTGTTGTTGCTGGCATGTCCATGTTTCGAGTGCCTGACAATCTCAATGCTGCCACTGTTGAGCTGCCACAGTTGGACGATCCATCCCAAGTGACGGAGCCTCCCGCCTCCTTGTGTGCGGACCCCATTTCCGGAAGCGTCAAATGGCCAGAATCAGATGTGCTATTTCCACTATCATGAGAACGGCAGTACGTAGAAATTCCGATCTCAATCAAGATGGAAAACCGCCCGACATCGTCGGCGAGCACCCCAGCTGTAGGTCCTCAACCCTGGAATTGGCCGAAAACCTTATGAGCCGAAGAATCCAAAGCCCAAACTGGACAACTGCCAAACCCGAAAGAAAACCCAAAGATATCGAACCTATCCCCAACACCCTCAAAACATAGGGTTTGCAGAAAAGAGGCCCAGTCCACCGACACGAAAGCCGATGTATGTGAAGACCTGGGATCAAGGCTTGCGAGGCTTCGACAAGGAGGTTTCGGGGTTTCAGGTTTAGGGTACAGTAATACAGGGGGGTGCAACAAGGGGTACTGCTAGAGGGTGCGAGGTCCCGAGTGATTTGGGGTTGGGGTTTTGAGGGCTCAGGGCTCAGGGACTGTGCCCGTCTGCGGCACCACGCCTTCGTGA